CACACACACACACACACACACACACACACACACACACACAGCTCATAAATTACGACTCAGGCCTGAAACACTTGATTATTGTTTGGTTTAAAAATGTAAAAAGTTATTTTAGTAAAACAAATTAAACTTTTATGATAAGGTTGTAAAATAATACTTTGTGTTTTGTGTCACATCTGAAGTGTGGATTTATTGTTTTTTTAGTTTATATATTTATGTTTTTAAATGTTTTAACTCAACAGTTCAAAGGTCAAAGTCTTGTAGTCATCGTTTTAAGGGAGAGGTTTTGATTATTTTTATAAGTGTTTTTAATTTAAAGAAGGTGAGATGAGATAYAAATCTAAAGAATTAAAAGTTAATAAATGTTCTGTTAATTAAAGGCACCACAGTTCAAATGTTAACTATTAACAGAAATAATGTACCTTTCTCCAGTACACAGTATGAATACACGTACMCAGGGCTCTGTTCATAGTACTACAGTATAGTTTCTTTATGTTTCTATTAATGGACAGAAAATCTTTTACATCTTCGCTTAAAACTGACCTTGGCCATTTTGTCCTGTTGCTATGGTAACAAATGAGAAGAAAGTGCTGCTACTAGAAATATTTTCCCAACACTTTAAAGCTGTAATAAACCGTCTACAGAGATGGACTTAGTTTGTAAAATAACTGCAGGTTTGACTCTGACTCTACCTGAAATGGAGTCTGGCTGTTGTAGTTCTTCACTTCCTTGTCAGCTCCACGGACCAGCAGCACTCTGGCACAGTTATCCTGAGGTGGAGACAGAAAACATGGATTAAAAATACAGACAAATAATCAGAATCTGTCAGGGTGGACTCCTTCAGCGCTCCTACTTTGTTGAGGAAGAGGAGCGTTAGCCTCCAGGGATGTTTGCAGAGTTCCCCAAAGGTCAGAGAAGTCAGGCCATCAGGCAGCGGTCAGTGTTTGTAAAAATGTCAGCTCAGACTGAGGACGAGCAGAAAACCTACAGCTTCTAGGAGAAACAGAGCTTCTGTGTCTGCTCAGGCTGTTTCTGTAGCTCCACTCCAACCAGGGAGTGAGAGAAACAGAGAGAGAAGAAGAGCTGAGGGGTTTGAATCTGCTGCAGAAATCGCCCACAAAGTGCTCCACCACGCATGCACTGTGCACACATCCATGATTATAAATACTTTTACAGATCACAATGAGCCGAGGAGAGTGGCTCAGAGAATCACACAAACTGAAACCTGCAGAAGGTGGACAGAGCAGTCAGCAATCCAAACCTTTACARCGTTAGACATGAGCTTTCTTATTTCAGACATCCTGTATGTGAGCAGGTTATTTTTACCCACAGAGCTGGACTGGAGCCAACACAAAGATGAGCTCCTTTTCTGTGCAGCCTCGTTCCATCCTCAACATGATGGGACACATTTCACTCACACACTGAATCACAAATGACTGGTTTTAAAGGGACTTAATGAAAACAATGCACAGATTTAAAAAAGGCTCAAAACCTGAACCAACATGAGGATGAAGATCAGTTCTGTTGTAGTAAACTCAGCTCTATACTTGGACTGCTGTGGTCTCATCAGTTACATGAAACAAGCTGGAACAGTTAGTGAGCTGCTGTAGAGACAACAATCTGTCTTTCAATGTCAACAAAACTGAAGAGTTGATTGTGTAAGGTAGAAAAAGAGACAACGCTCACCCCTCATACACACCTCAGGCTGCAATAATTAATTATAAAAATAGGTTTTAGTTTACGAGGGCAGAAAATTGCTCCTGAGTGGTTCCTTTTTGGAAAAGCTGTTCCTCCACAATAATATTTCCCTGATCTGTAAGTGTCTGCATGCTGGCTGCTGCATGTAGACACTGACTACTCAAAATACTCCACAGAACTCCAGTTAAAAACTAGACATGGGTTTTTACGATGTAAAAACAAGTGTGCATTGCCATGTAGCATGTCATTGCCTGCAGCATTGGACTTCCAGAATGAACTTTGACCAAGTTTAAATGTGTTTTCTAAACCAGCTTGTGCCTGTCACGTCAGCAGGTGTTTGTARTTAARKYRATTGTGTGACAATATGAAGTTTGAAGAGATTTTTGTTAAAGTTGCAGTAGCTGGATTTGAACCCTGATCTCCCACATGAAAGCCCACAGTGCTCATCATGAGACTATAGGAGATGTGGCARAGGACAATCCCAGGGATTGGATTGTATGTATACAGAAAAAGTTTATCTTGCCAATGCAATTATTGACACTGAAGTGCAATATATTACAACAATAGGACAACATAGACAGTATTACAGGAAAACATCAAAATACAATCATAATATTGTAATCACTGAACTAAGCAGCACTAATTTCAATGTTAAAATAAAGAAAAAGATGTTGTGTCTCAGTTTCCATAAACTGTACAGCCAGCCCGCTGTAGCTCCGCCCCCAGCTGCTCACCTGGTTGTACAGGGCACAGATGTGCAGCGCCGTGTTCCCCGAGGCGTTCTGCGCGCTCATGTCTGCTCCGTAGAACAACAGATGTTCCAGATGTTGCACGTGGCCATGGCGACAGGCCTGCACACACACACACACACACACACACACACACACAC